ACACACACACACACACACACACACACACACACACACACACACACACCACACACACACACACACACACACACACACACATACTCACACTACTGCTGCTATCTGGTCTTTCCTTCCATGTGCCCGCCCCTCCGACTACCCCACTGGCCAGATTATATTGTCCATCACACTGCCTCACTTCTGTCTGGCTGGAAAGATAGACATTGACCAATTATCACCCCCATGGCCTTGTTGATTGGCCCAGGAGGCCATCATGTGACCTAGTTGTAGCCAATCACCTTTCTGCTTTGAGAGTTTGCTGCTTGGATAAGAAGAGGTGTCTATTGTTTCAGGGGCGGATCTTCAAGGGTATAGGCTCAAACTTTTAAGGCCCTCCTATGACCCCTGAGGGACTACGAAACCATATGAAAAGAGCCACACAACGGCACACTCACCCATCAGGACATAGTGGAAATAACTCAATCATTATCTTTATTGACAGGAGCTAGGGTCAGAAGCAGCAGAGGATTTCCGAGTTGGCCATCCAGCTCCCTTTGCAAGATGCAGCTCCCCTACTTCTTCCTGGAAGGTTGGACTGCTTGCTTCCCACCCTAGCTCCTCCTCAGAGGAACCCCAGACTGGGCCTTAGGTTCCTTACTGGCCCAGGTTTGCAAACTTCCTCCTCCTGGGGTAGCCTGCATTCTCTCTGACCCTTGACCTTTGACCTTCTACAACTCAGTTCTCATGAATAGCTTCACCCTGGTCGCTGACACAGAGACCACTCACAGAAGGGGCAGGATGTGGGCTGAGCCTCAGCTGAGGGTACCTGTACTTTGTATCCCGTAGTCAGGCCCATAGCGGTGAGCAATGGCTTACCCAGCGTGGCTCAGTTTCCTCCTGGATTCCAGCAGACTGGTGGGCTGGGGAACCACATTCACACCGTGGTGAGGACTGTGAGGCCCAGAGAAGGAAGGCCAGGCCAAGCGGCTTAAGGTGAATAGAAGATCGAGGTTTCTCAGCTTCTGGATTTGTGAGCTCCCTGAGGACCCTACCTTTACAGAGTAGGGCGGGGGGTTAGGCAGAAACTCCAATCTCTCCAGGGCCAGCTTTGTTGGGACCAAAAGGATCATTTCTCTGAGGGTGAGGGTGGGGTCCTGGGTCAGCCTGGGACAGTGGTTACTCCCAGTGACAGCCCTTTAGCCTCTTGTCATCATCGGGAACCCTGGGAGCACAGAGGATAGGGAGGTCTGACCCCGCCAGGGGCTTACCACCCCTCCATGGTGTCCTGAGGAGCCTCGCCCACTCCCAAGATCAACACCGTGGCCTGTGCCCCTCTCACCAGCACCACAGACCCTCCAGGGGCCCCTTGCTGCAGGCTTCCTAACACCAGGGCTGCAAGGGACGAAGCCTGCTCAAGATCACAGCCCAGTTCTGGTCCCTCCTCTCTCCTCTCCTCTCTCCCTCCCCTTCCTACTGTCTCAGCTTCCTTCATCTTGACCACCCTCTTCCTATGTCTCTTCCCCTCAGGCTGCCACATAGTCTCTGCCCTGGGGACCAGGTACCTGACCTAAATAGGGTGAGTCAGACTGTGGGTGGCCTGAGCCTATGCCGAGTGTGGTCCCTCCCCCAGAAAAGGAATACAAAATTAGAAGCATCAGTCAGATGCAGGCCCTAGAGGGAACCAAGCAGTGAGAAACCCTGAAGCTTGGATTCATCTGTCTTCTTCTTCTACTACTTTTTTTTTTTTTTTTTTTTTTTTTTGGTTTTTCAAGATAGGGTTTCTCTGTAGCTTTGGAACCTGTCCTGGAACTAGCTCTTGTAGACCAGGCTGGCCTCAGACTCACAGAGATCCACCTGCCTCTGCCTCCCGAGTGCTGGGATTAAAGGTGTGTGCCACCACCGCCTGGCTCATCTGTCTTCTAAAAACCTTTCCTCTCACACCCAGGAGCACAGGAGGCCCAGCACTGAGACACTGGGGTGAGGACCTGGAGGACATTGGGCTGTCCAGCAGGCGAGGTAGAAGCCTAGGCAGGAAGAGAGTGGCCAAGGCCACACAGCAGCATGGGAAGGGCTGACCTGGGTCCTAAGCACATCTGTCCTACCATCTTACACTCCTTTGGGTTTCAGTCAAACCCCAGCTTATCCGCATCCCAGATTCCTCAAGCCCTGCTCTATCTCCCTAAGGGTCAAGATACAGACTGACCCCCTCCCACAAAAGATACCTTGTTTCTTGGTCAACCTGCTCACATCATTTTAACTTGGGCTTGGGAGAGTCACCCTAGTAACGACACCCTCCAGACCCCTCTTATGACAGGGTCCATCCAGGCCTCATCATGCCCATCCCTGAGTCAAAATTAGGAAGCAAGGCCCAGAGAGGGCAAATGACCTGCTAAAGGACACACAGCAAGTCCTAGAACAGTGGGGCAGAACCCAGGCCTCTGAACATTCCATCACTGGACCCGGCGTCCTCAGCAGTCCAAAGACAGCCGGAAGACCCGCGCAAATGAAGTCACCTCAGCTTGCTCAGACCACTGCAAGAGGCTGGTACTCATGTCCTTGGGCCAGGCACAGCCTCTGTCCTTCTTGGGCCCTGCTGGTCCTTTGAAGTCCTTATAGGTGGCTCAGGGTGCTAGACTTGTCCCCAACTGTGGCCTCCCGGGGTAGAAACTGCTGCTCCTTGGCAGCCCCTGTGCTGGGCTCCTGCCCACTGGTGCCAGGCTGTGCAGTCTGACTCCTTTTTCCATTCGTCTCCTTCCTCCTCGCAGCCCTCCGCTCCTCCTCTTCTCTTCTCTCTTCCTCCTCTTCATCCTCCTCCTCCTCAGTCTTCTCTGGAGGGCCAGACCCTGGCTCCTGACTCCGTATGCGTCGGGACGGTCTCAGCAGGACCCTGCGGAAGCCCTGCTTGAAGCGGTAGGAGAGGAAGCCATAGAGGATGGGGTTGGCACAGCTGTTGGCGTAGGGCAGTGCCACCACCAGAAAGTAGAGCCCAAAGAAGGCGGGCTCCTCGGGCAGCGGGCACACCACATTAATGATGTTGAGCAGGTAGAAGGGCATCCAACAGAGGACAAAGAGCGCCACCACGGCCACCACCATGCGTGTGACTCTGCGCTCAGAACGCCGCCGCCGCTGGCACGAAGGTGCCTGTACCCACTGGCAGGATGGTGCCCGCACACGCCGTGTGGTCGACCGCACCTTCACCACAATGAGCAGGTAGCATAAGCAGATGACCAGCAGGGGCCCGAAGAAGCCCAGGGCGGCTGTGTAGATGATGAACGCCGCTCGCCAAGCAGCTGCTGGCTCTGGCCACTGCATGTGGCACGTGCTCATGCCCCGGGGCACTCCTGAGAAGACGACCACAGGCAACACCACCACGGCTGAGGCCACCCAGACAGCCGCACTGACTGTGCGAGCCACAGGTGCTGTGCGCCAGCGGGCTGAGCGTGTGGGATGCACCACGGCCAGGTAGCGGTCCACGCTCATGACGGTGAGGCAGAAGATGCTGGTGAACTGGTTGATGCCGTCCACGGCCATGACCAGACGGCACATGAGAGAGCCAAAGGGCCAATAGGACAGGGCGTTCTGAGCAGCCAGGAAGGGTAGCCCTAACATGAAGAGCTCATCAGCCAGCGCCAGGTTGAGGATATAGACGCTGGTCACTGACGGACTGGCTGTGTGTCGCAGTACTACGTAGATCACCAGGGAGTTTCCCAGCAGGCCCACCACGCACACCACTAGGTACACCAGAGAGATCAAGATGCCACTGACAGCCAGACCTGCCAGGCTAGCGCCAGCAGATGCATTACCCAGAGTAGTGGCCAGTGGCCAGGCAGAGGATGTGTTCCCAGGGTCCAAGGTTATGGGCACCGATGAAGGATAGGCTGCGGTGGCCATGGCCGCGGAGAGGCTGGTCAGCAATCAACTAGTCCTGGCCTACAGGAGGAAGAACACAACGTAATTGTGCTGAGAACACTTCCTTTGTGCCACTCCACCACCGCTACCTAGAACATGGAGACCTACTATGTGCCCGCTCAGCACTTGATGAGCATCTTGTACACTGCAAAGCCCAGTAACGTGAGGGATGCTGTTCCAATTTCTCAGATGAGACAAGTTCTCCAAACTCTAGATGAAAGTTGGCATAGGATTGTCTTTTCTAGCAGAGCCCAGAACTTTCCTCAGTTCCTAATTCCAGACAGGATTGCAATGAGCAGATGGTGTCTCCTCTCCTGGGAGTCAGAGCCCTCAGCACCTCCATAACTCTGGCCATCACATGGGGTCCCTACCTAAAGTCCTACCTGGGGGGATGACTGTGAACGTGAGAGTGGGTGCCTGTACCCCTTTTCCTCCCAGACAAACTGGTGATGTGAAGTCTGCAAGGCATCTGGACACTACATCCCCCAGCTGCAGGGTTGTGGGTACTGGGCTGGGCAGGAGGAGGCATCAACTGGCACTTGGTGAGGTCCTTCTATACTGTCTCTGTGCCTGGACCTTGGGGATTCTGCTGGGCTCCCCTGCTGGACTCAAATCTCCTACATCACTGGGATTCATCCGACCCTGGACCATTTCCACTGTCCCCCACCTCTCACTCCATCAACTCCTGCATCACTGGGATTCATCCAACCCTGGACCATTTCCACTGTCCCCCCCACCTCTCACTCCATCATCTCCTGCATCACTGGGATTCATCCGACCCTGGACCATTTCCACTGTCACCCACCTCTCATTCCATCATCTCCTGCACCAGTGAATGAGGCATCGAATGAGTCAGAGGAGCTAGAGTGGGCAGTCTTGTGAAGGAGTGGGCTGCAGCGTGGGGACTGGGCCTGGCTGCTGCTTCCAGAACTCTTGGTAAAAGGTAGAGCAGTCCCTCCGTTGGCCTGACCGCCCATCTCTCTCCAGCCGTTGAACCTTTCTGCCTGCCCCTAGCAACTCCCTTGGAGCTTGGATCCTGAGTGCTTCTTCCTCCATGCTGCAGAGTGACATTAAGTGGAAGTCTCTAAACTAAGAAGCTTCCCTTCTCCATGCTGTGTTGACCCACTCTGGGTCCAGACCCTCCACTGGAAGCTGAGAGTGTTTTGGGCATCCTGATGAGACTCCAAAAGAAGGAGGTTCCTGTGAAGGGGAAGCACCTAGCTCCCAGCATGCTCCTGAGTAGGGAGCATATGCAACAGCTCTAAGTGCCAGGCTGTTGATGCCAAGGATGGTAAAAGACCCCTGGCAGAGTGCCAAGGCTCTTCCCTGCTACACTCCAGATTGGCTTCCAGCAGGCTCAGGGAGCCCCCACGTGGTTCTCAACCTGCTGTACCCTCACTTTTCTTGAGCTGGGTCTGGTGAATCTGGGCACTAAGCTGTGGGATCCTGTAGTGTCTTCACAGAGCTGGCTCTTCCTTGCTGAACTCTGACCCTAGATGGATTCAGGAAAAGTTGGAGTCTCAGAAGTGGCACAACCCCGGTGCCCGAACACAAAGCATACCTGCTGCCCTCACCAACTGGCCAGGAGCTAAGGAAAGTCCTAAGACTCTGGCCATAGCTAGAAAGGAGCATGTATAAGACCTATGACATGTATCCGATTATACAGGCTGGCAGACTGAGGCCAGGCCAGCAATAGTCTCCTACCTCAGTACCGTGCTGGCCTCACTATCCTGCCGGCCTAGGCAGAACTTGCCTGGCTGGTGTCTGTGCTCTTGAACTCGGGGCCATGAGCCCAAAGCCTCAGACCCATAGGAGCCTGGAGATGGGAATTTAAATTCTTGGAACACAGCCATGGATCTCAGAGTCAGGTTTTCAGGCCTCGTGACTTTTAATCAGAGAATGTCGCAACTCCAGACAGCTGGAGTCAAACCATCCTAGGCCGGGAACTGTGGGTTCTAGGACCTTACATTTCTGCTCCCAGGGTGGAGATGGGGCGCCCTACGTCACCCCGCCACCCTGCCCACTGGATTTGCGCAGTGCCTCTCTCTAGCTTTCCCACAGGGTGGCCAATCAAAGACACTCAGGACTGCAGGAGAAAAGAGAGTGCCAGGCACAGCGAAGAGCTGAGAGCCAAGCAAACCTCATTTCCAGGTTTCCGGCACAGATGCCCTCGGGGAAGCCCAGGGTGTGCTCCAAGGATGGCCCCTCCAGCCTCACACAGGAACATTTATGAACCTGCCGAAGCACATGCGCACATAACACGCAACACACACACACACACACACACACACACACACACACAAGAACCTAGCTACCCAGCCAAACCCTCCCCAGACTTGGGGGTGGAGCATCCCTCCTGGTACCCTGGCCTCCCTCCAAGACACCCTCCTTACTGTCAAAGTTGACAGGCCAGGCAGGTGCCAGAACACAGAAATCACATCTTTTCACCCGGGAAGACAGACCTGCAATTTCGGTGCCGTCTTTTCTTCAAGGATCTGGGATCCTATGCCTGATCTAATTCTTCCTTGGAAGGGAGGGAGGTACTTTGCCTCTCTGTCTGGTTTATCTTTGGCACAAGCTTGCCTGAAAGCTGGGGGTGGAATCTCCTCAGGGGACTGTTCAGGAGAGGAGAGACCCACAGAGAGGGTGAGTATTGTTCCCAAGCCCCACAGCAACTGCGGCTGCCCCCTCAGGCATGTAAGACACTCCAGTTGCTCTTTGCCTCTCATCCAACTCCCACCCCCTGCAGAGTGCTTTCCCTGAGCACTTAGCCTAGCACCCAGAGCTCGGTTAGTACTAACAGGAACAAGCATGCTCGAAAGTAGAACTCAAAAGTGCAAGATGTCCCTGGGCTGAGACTTCAAACTCACATCATGAGACCCTAGCAGGGCCCAGAAAGGAGAGATGAAGGAGGAATCTGAGGCTCAGAGAGGTTAAGTGACTTCCGCAAGGTTACCAAACTGGTGAGTGAGAAATCGGATTCCAAGTCTGTCGTTCTCCTGTACCATGCTGGGTTTCCTTAAAGGCCTCCAGCTTAGAGTTTGTCAAAAGTCAATGCAGACTGAGGACCCCTGGCTCTGTCATCATCTGTCCTTTGCACCCCTGGACTTTCCTCCAAAGAAGTTGGGGTTTTGTTAGTCAGCAGTGACTGACTGACATACACCCTAGGCCCAGGGCCTGGCTCCTGGGAGCAGTCTCTAAGGCCCTGATCTGGGACCTGTCCTCTGTTGGGAAAACTGCTATGTGACCTTGGACAAGTCATTTCCTTCTCTTTCTAGTCTCCTCCTACCACAATGGAGTTGTGCTTACCCAATCCCAGGGTGCTGCAAGGGTGAAAGGGGCGTGTCAGATGCTCCGCTCTCAGCATGAAGGGGAGCTCACAAGTGCCACCGCGAAGACCCAGGAGACTGGACAGCAGTGTGCATCTGGTTTGGTCCAGTTCTGACATTCTGCTGTATGGAGGCTTCAAGGTTCTGGAATGACGGCACAAGATGCTAGGATTAATAACCCTTCCTACCTTACAGCCTACACAGAGTTCACCAAAAGCCTCCCTCAGTGCTTCCTAGAACTCTCCACTCTCTGCTAGCCCTAGTCTCAGCCCTAAATTCAACCTGGTCAGAGAAAGGGCTTAGGTATCCCACCCTCCAAGATCCCTGTGAGCTCAGCCTCCTTACCTGCCCACAGGGCAAGAGCTCCCTTTGTCGTCGCCAGGCTGGGTAACATTCTGCAGCCAGGCACCACTAGCAGACAAGCAGCTGGTGTCCCACACGGTGCCCACTCCTCCAGCGCTCGTGGACTCGGGCCCTTTCTAGGCCCTCAGCGGCCACGTCAGCCCACATTGCCTCTCCCATCTGGTCCCCAGCCCTGACTTCCCACCTTCACCTCGTTTGTCCGTCATCCCCCATCTCCAGGACTCGTGGAGGGTGCAGGACACAGAATGGGGTCTTCTGAGAGCACCCAGTCGGGGGTGGCAGGAGTCACTTCCCAAGGTGACAGGAATGTGGAGAGAGCAGGGGACATAAGAAGCCAATAGAAAATAAGGAAAGAGGGGGTGGGTCGGAGGTGGAGAGAGGGAGGAGAGGGAGAGGAGACAGTGTGTGGGTGGAAAGGCAGAATGAGGGGGAGTAAGGAGAGATGCTCGGCAAGGAGAAGGGACAGAGGAGAACAGAGGAGAGAAGAGAATGGACGGATGGAGGAGCAGGGAGAGATGCAGAAAACGGCAGGGACAGAGGGAGGCAGGAGGAAGGAGAAAGAGGGGGTGGTAGGGACAGTGACAGAGAAGGATTGTGCCACAGATGGTGACATGGAGAGCCAGCAGAGGGGGGAGCAGGAGGGTGCAGGAGGGGCCGGGAGGAGGGGCTGAGGGCCGGACAGTAGGTGCCAGACTGAGAGGGGCAGCAGGTTAAGGGCGGAGGCCGGCAGAGGGAGAGGCAGATCCCGTTACCGAGGAGATTTCAGCCACCCACGCTGGCCTTGGCTCCCGCAGGGACTTGGAAAAAAGAGGGGAGCAGCAGAGAGGGGGAGCTGCCTGCCAGAGGCAGGACAGCCCCAGATCCCCAGGATACACTCTGTGAGGGAGGGGGCTGTGCAGCAGGATGAAGAGGGAGAAGGCAGGATGGGCACTGAGATGCAGGCTCCAAGCTCACAGCTCTCCTGTTGGGAATCCCAAGGGCAGCGGGACAGGTCCAGGAGAAGGCAGCTAGGGGCTGCGAGCCTGGGGTCAGTTGGATCTGGACAGAGGAGCAGAGAGATGGAGTAGGAAGAAGGTGTTTTGGGCTTTGAGAACCAAGAGTCAAAAGTCAAAGATACACAGCGAGGAAACAAATCCCCGCTCTTTGAACTGATACAATTTGAAATATAACAAGTGCACTTGAAGACAATTGTTCATATCGACAATACACATATCAACTAATGAGCTCCCTGGGAGGGGGATATTTGACTCTGTCGGAGCATAAAGGTGGTGGTCCCCAGCTTCAGCTTGTTCATCTGCCTAAGCCATTTGTTCTCGATTGGTGAAGTGGACAGACCCAAGCAGTAAATGGTGGCAATCTGTGGTCACTGCTGCTCTAAAGTGGACACAGGTTCTGGGCAGCTCTGGATATGTCCTCAGAGTCCAGGGTGAGCCTCCCGAAGAAGCTGTCTTTCTCCGCTCACAGTTCCCCGTGGCTCTTCAGTGCAGTCACCCACAGCCTACTCCCCCTATTGCCTGCTAACTACAACTTCCTTTTGGCTCCCGGAGCTCTGAGCTTATCAACCTATTCATTCATTTATTCATTCATTCATCCTCAGACACTGTTGCCTCCAGTCTTGTTCCAGTCTCTAGGAACGGGAGGGAAGAGGTTAGCCCTAGGCAGACAGTCTACACCCCATCACTAAAGGCTAAATCCAACTTCCCAACCTTGGCTGGGACCAAAAGGAAATGGGGCAGAGACAGAGCTAGGAACCATGAGGGTGGGTGAGAAGCTGGCATCTCACCAAGCAAGGATCTAGGCAGGGCAGTCACAGCCAAACCTTGGGGAACTTATGGTCAGCTTGGGAGATGGTCCTCTCAAACTGGATGAGCCAGGAGCTTCTGAGAATGGAAGAGAGGGGCTGTGCCTTGATTGACATTTCCACACTTCTTTATCTGCTGCCCTAAGCCACATCCATGGCAAAGGTAGGAGCAGGAGGCCAGTCAGAAGCCTCCGGGTCTTCACACAGGCTGTACCTGCAGCTGAAATACTGATTTTACCCCATCCCCATGAGTGGGGAAAAAATGGTCTTTAGGTTGACAGTTCTCACCCAGGACAGGGAGTCTCATTCCCCAGACTTCCAGACTCTGTCCTCATAACCGTGATCTTCATGTTGTCTTACCTGAGGATGGGGCGTGAATGTTTTCTCTACTGGACTGTCAGTTTCCCCAAGGGACAGTTCTATCCAGGTCCCCAAGGTGGCCCTGGGCTGGCACCAGCCTGGCACACAATAGGTATTCATCCCATGACTAGTGAAAGAGGATGGAAGATGAACGCATGTATGGACACACGAATGAATGGATGCATGCATGCATGAATGTATGAATGGATAGATGATGGTGAATACATGAATGGATGATGGATGCATGAATGGATAGATGATGGGTGGATACATGAACGGATGATGGATGGTTGGATGGATGGATGGATGATGAATAGATGAATGAATGGATCCATGAATGGATAGATGACGGGTGGATACATGAATGAATGATGAATGGATGGATGGATGATGTATGGATTCTTGCATGGATGCATGAATGGATAAATGATGGGTGGATACATGAATGGATGACAGATGGATGGATGATGAATGGATGAATGGATGGATGCATGAATGGATAGATGATGGGTGGATACATGAATGGATGATGGATGGATGGATGGATGATGGATTGATGGATGAATGGATGATGATGATGAATGGATAATGGATGAACTCAAGTTCATGGGTGAATGAGGGGGAATGAATGGATAGTGAGTAGCAGAGGGACAAGGGACACTTGTTTTCTGAGAATACACTGGAAGAACGAGGGGGTAAAAGGCATCCTACACAGCAGAGTGGGGTCAACCCTTCTCTAGCAGACTTCTGCTGGCAAAAGTGACCTGGGGCTCCTGTTGATCCCAGAGAGGGGAAAACACAAGTCAATGCCTAGAGTTCTGGGAGCAGGGGACTGTGGGGACCCAGAGACATTCCAAAGGGATGGTCCTGCCTTGGATTGAGGTTCTGGAATCCTGCGACTCCAAGTCCCAAATCCCTGACCCCAGGCTGGACCTGATCCCCAGGGCTATCAGGGTATAGAAGCTACCTGGCTGACTTTCCCAAAGAAAGGACAGCACCAGGCACCCACATGTGATTTTGGCCTTGGCAAAAACCATGGTGGTGTCTCCACCCTCACACTAGGGGGCTCCCATGGCCAGTAATAGCGCCTCTTCCATCAGACAAGGGAGCCCAGATCCAGGCTCTTCTCCCTGGGAGCCAGAGAAAACCCTCCCCTCACCTTCCTGATGGTGCCTAGGCTGGAGCTGGCCAAGGGGCCAGGGAGATACCTAGCTACCAAAACAGGCCCGTCTTCTAAAACGTGAGATGTCTTCCTGGCCCTATTTTCACTTTTTCACTAATGTCCCCATCTAGGGTGTCTTTGGGTTTGTCACCTGCTGCTGGGTCCTTACTGGCTGTGTGACTGACCATCCCTGAGACTCCTCCCCAGCTCCTATGTCACAGGGTTATGCAGATAACAGGATGAGCCACAGCGCCCATCCCCCAAGACTGCAGCAATTCTGGGAACCTGTCACTTCTGACTTCTGAGCTCCTCCGTGGGAGGGACCTGAGGACTGTGACACTGGACAGAGGGGTTCCAGTCCCAGTTCTGTCCCCAGCCACAGGACTGCAAAATCCCTCTTGGAACTTTGGTGTTCTCCTCCAGTAGAAGCCACTGCACCACCCGGCTTCAGGGAATCTGACCGCGGTTGGCCAGAGTCTGTCTCTGTCTCTGTGTCTGTCTGTCTCTCTCTCTTGTTCTCTTTCGTTCTCTCTCTCTCTCTCTCTCTCTCTCTCTCTCTCTCTCACACACACACACACACACACACACACACAATCTGTCTCTCCTCTCTCACCTGGCTGACTCTCCAGCACCCCTCTTCACCATCCTTCCTGGGATTCTAAGAGTGCCACCCCCACCCCCATCCCCAAGGCTGCTATTTCACATTGACTCTTTTTTTTTTTTTTTTTTTAACTAAAGGTACTTGAAAATCAAGAAGGACACCGTGACCTTCCCTTCTCCCTTTGAAAGCAGGGCCTGAAGGCCATGAGAGGCGCCTCCCAGCACCAGGAGGAGGGTAACTGACTTGTTACCAGGCAGAGCTGGGGAGGGGAGGGTCTACAAAGCTCACCTTCTATTTAACCCTCATCTTCCCACGCCACAGCTGCCACACTCTCTACCCAGACCACGAACGCATGAACTTGAACTTTGTTGCCTGTGGGAGAAGTGAGACGAGGGACACTCCTACACCGCGCACACATTAGTACAACTCACATGCCTTTCTCCCATTAATCTGTCCCATTTCATTCATGGTCAAAGACCCTTAGACAACAGAGTGACATCAGCCTGCTCAGGAAGAACAGTGAATCTATGAAAATGCTGAGTCACAGTCTGACTCCTCATGGTCACCTGTCACTCACTGAATAAGTCCCTGCCTCCGTGTTTAGTGCTAACCTGCCTCTACTGACCTGTTCCTCCATTTTACTTCTCCTCTTGTTGCTAGCATAACTGAACCTCATGAGGGCCCTGGGGCCTTTGCCCAGGCTGCTCCCCATTACTCCCCTGCTCTGAGGCATGCTTCCTCCCCTGGGCCTCCTTTTCATCTGTCATGCAACTGTTTTTCATTTCTAATTTGTTCTTGCGTTCTTCAAGCATTATCTGCAAGCATGTTTCTGAATCCTGTTGTGCTAAAAGGTTTTAAATGACAAGATGTAGCCGCCCTCCAGTGGCCCCCTTACCGCTCCCTAGTCTGTCTCAGAGGCGGAGCTGACATTTAGTATGTTTAAACACCCACACTTCCTAAGCATCATTGTATTCTTTCTCCAACACCCCCACCAACACACACGTTGAATTTTTGAGATAGGGTTTTAGTATGGAGCCCAGATTAACATTGCATCCTCCTGCCTCAACCTTCCAAGTTTGGAACTCCTAAGTATGGGTCATCCCACACAACAGAGTTTTTTGTTTGTTTGTTTGTTTGTTTTGTTTTGTTTGTCTTTTGAGACAGGGTTTCTCTATAGTTTTGGGGCCTGTCCTGGAATTAGCTTTTGTAGACCAGACTGGCCTTGAACTCACAGAGCTCTGCCTGTCTCTGACTCCTGAGTGCTGGGATTAAAGGCCTGTGCCACCACTGCCCTGCTCAGTTCTTTTTTTTTTTTTTTAATGTACTTTATGTGTTTGAGTTTTTGCCTGAAAATATCTGTGTACTATGAGAGTACCTGATGCCAAATGGGGCCAGAAGAGAACACCAGATGGTTGCTAGCCACTGTGTGTGTGTGTGTGTGTGTGTGTGTGTGTGTGTATGTGTGTGTGTGTGTGTGTGTGTGTGTGTGTGTGTGTAACTAAACCCCAGTCCTCTGGGAGAGCAACCATTGTTCTTTGCAGTTGAGCCACCTCTCCAGCTCCCTACACAA